ACCTATAAAAGCCGTGTCTCTAGCTATGTACACAAACTCATCGACAACTTCTCTGTAAACTCCTTGGTTAGTAATGAAATCAGTTAGAGATATGAGTTATCACTTCATGACCTTTGGCTCTTCAGCCGTCTCATTTGAGAAACTTCAGTTAAAAGCTGTCTTGTAGCACTCTTGCATCCCATGGTGCGTATTTGGCAGTTTTATATGTTTTATATTTGTTTACCAAAACTGAGCACACGACTAATAAGGCTCGGTTGCATGTATCTGTAATCGTTCAAACAGAGTATCATGCAAAGGGGCGTACTTGGCTTGCGGTTCCACTGGCACAGTAGCTTCAATTGAGAACTTTTAACTTTGTCAGCTTGACAATTAGGAGTTCCACATACATGTTTCTGCTTTTGGACTTGATATCTAAAGTTGCTGTGTTTTTTAAACCAATACCGCAGACAAGCGTCCAAAAAATATGTTATCTTAAGGAGCTGCCAATTTTATAGTAAGGAAAATTTCATTTTCTAGGAGTATTATTAGTTTTTTTTAACATTGTTATAATACATAATATGTGCTAGTTGTGTTCCGCGTCAATGTCAACATGGATATTTGGTAAGTTATCTGCCTTATTAATGATATTGTGATAAAAGATCAAGAAGCACCCATAAACATTTCTATTTGAAGTTTTTAAGCGATGCCAAATTTTCCTAAGATAGATTTTTTAAGCCTACAACAAAGTTTTTTCCCACAATTACAACAGTATTAATGAAAATTGACTACCCCGTTTAAATAATTACTCACTAGTAATGAGAAAGAACTTCGTTACTTTTTGTCATCACTTTCCTAAAAATATCAGTACCTTCTTCATAGTTTTAGTCATATTAAAAAATCTATATGAAAATGCTTCACCATTAAAAGTCACCGTGAATACTTGTATTGTGATTTTTTTAAGGAACACTGGACTACTAGGTTACAAGCAAATCAAACAAAAGATGAGTATCATGATCATTGACGTAAAAAAATTCCTCCAATCATGTAGATGTGTTA